CATGTCGTGTCCAACAGAGGTGAGAAATTCCCTTCAAAATGCCTCCAGTCCAGCTGGGGTACCAAACCATGACCCTAACTCATCCACGTCCTTTTCCTGGTCCTTGGAGACGAAAAAGTCTGTGACGCGGTGTGAATCGCCTTCATCTTCAGCAGGCCAGTCCACCTTGACAGCACCTCCCTTCGTTGCTTCCATCAAATCTTTTGCTGTGCCCCAACTAAACCTGCACTCGGGTCCCCAGCCAAAGACGGGGTGCATATTCCCCTTCAACCAGGACGAACACCTCTGGTCAGAAGGATATCCCGACCCCCAGCCCATAGCCTCGTCCTCTGCCTCCTCCCCTCCCTCGGCAACCCCCTTCCCCCTCGCCTTCCACAGCGTCTCGAGCGCCGCGTCCCTCGTCACCTTGGCGCACACGCTTGCCGCGCTGACGCACGGGTACAGGCTGTCGGCCTTCTTGGCGACGGTGATCTTGGCCGTGGGGAACACGCGCTCTAGCTTCTTCTGGTACACGGCCGGCTGCCCGATGGTGTCGACGTAGATCTCGCGCACGTTGACGCCCTGCGCGTACACGCCGCGGATCAGCTCCACCGTGGCGTCCATCGCCTGCGCGTTGAGGTTGTACGTGGCCCCCAGCGGCCGCAGCATGCCTGCGCCGATGTCGCGCGCCGAGAGCGCCGAGATCGCCCACCCGCACGAGGCGAACAGGTCCGTCGACGGCGTGCACAGCGTCTCCATAAGCGAGGAGCGCACTGCTGGGGTGAGCACCTTCGAGTCGTCGAAGTGGTGCGTCCCGCGGAGTAGTGGGTCTGAGAGTGGCAGTGGCAGGTAGAAGACCCCGTATACCATCGGCCCCAGCACCGGCCCACGCCCGGCTTCGTCGACGCCCAGCGCGCAGGGCGTGCCGGTGTTGGGAGCTGGGGCGTCTATTGTCGGTGTTGTTGTTTCGAAGGTTGAGGTTGTTGGTGGGAGGAGGGATGGCGGGACTGCGGAGTAGTGGGTGTAGGAGTCGCCGCGCAGGAGGGCGGTTTGGTTGACGGAGGGCGGGATGAAGACGCCGGAGACGGGCGTCTCGAGGGCGATGTCTTCGGTCATTGCCGTGTCTTCCATTTTGCTGTGGTCTTTGGGTTTGGGCGAGAGTTCGAATGGGAAGTGGTTTTTTCGGATTGGCGCCAAATTCGCACGGTTAAGAGCCAAATCAAAGTCGAAAGCCAGAAAATTGGTCGCCAAAACGAGTCCGTCCCACTCGTGGTGTTTGGAACGATTGGAGGGGCCAGGCCAGTGGACGAGTTGCATTGAAAGCGCGTCGGCCAATGATGTGGCAGAACGTACGAGAAAACGATTAAAAGCGGGCACAAAGAAAAATGACCACAACCCTGGCTCCCGCCCCTGCCAAATCTGTACTGTGTACGCCAAGTTAGTGTAAACAACGGTTGTGCTTGCATTGCATTTGCATCTCGGCATTCCGCAATCCACAATCCGCAATCCCATCCCACGTCCTCCACTGCTTGGACCTCCGCCACTTTCCCTCGTCCTCGACCTGTGACGGCGATTTTCGAAACTACGCGACACAAACCCGACTCAATCTCGAGATGGCGCCCCGGTCGTCGCAACAGCGGCGCACCATCGGTTCCCAGAGCGAGCATATTCCTGAGCTGGGCGTGACAGGCCGGTTTGTGCACCTCGTGCACCTCATCCACCGACTCCGGCGTGCCTGTTGAGCTAACCTTTGATGTTGTACACTGCAGCAAGACAGGAATCACCCTTAAAGATACCGGTATCCGCGATGAATTCGGCATGGAACCCCTCGACGCCCTCTTCTCGTCGCCGCACAAGCCCGACGCCGACGCGACGGGGAGCGAGGACGGCGAGGAATCGGATGAAGATGGTAGCGGGGAGCCGATGGAGCTAACGACGAGTACGCCACTCTCCCAAGCTGTCTCATCTCGCGCCGCTTCGCATAGCTAACTCGTTTCTAGATTTGGGAGCCCTGATCAACGGTCATGGCAATAGGCTTAACCTGCCGTTACCACGCGCCAAATCGCCAGTGAAGACCAGTCTCGGCTCTCCCCCCCAACGCAATCGACATCTTGCGCGCAGCTCTTCGCCGATACAGGGAACAGTCGTCCGCGAGCGCGAGCCAAAGCCAAGCTCACAACCAAACCGCGAACAACCCAGCACCAAGCGCCGTCTAGATTTTAGCAGCGTGACACCAGGGGGGCCACACTCGCTATCACAACCAGCAGGGAAGGGGGCACCAAAGCTTGGTGCGCTCAATGGCGCAACGCGGTTGACGAACGGCTACCAACACGAAGAAGAAGAAGAAGAGGAGGAAGAGGAGGAGGAGGAGGAGGAGGAGGAAGAGGGGGAGGAGGAACCGGGGGAACGGCTTGATGAAGATGACGAGCAGGAAGACAACGAGGATGTCAGTCTCTTTATCGAGGAGTCTATGGCCATGCTTTCTGCCGAGACTGCTGAGATCCCAATTGTCCAGGAGAACCAGGATGAAGCCGAGGAAGAAATCTCCCCCGCTCCAGCCGCCAAGAGAAAGCCGGGTCGGAAACCGGCATCACCAAAAACGACCAAGCAAGGAAAGAACCGCCGTGTTGTAGAGGAAGAGGAGGAGGAAGTTGAGGATATTGCTCAGTCAGAAGCAGGAGAGGACGAGGTCAATGGCCATGAGAGCGACGGATCAGACGAAGCGATCCTCAGGCCAAAGAAGAGCGCAGCGAAAGCCGCTCCTCCACCCAAAACCAAGAAAGCCGCAGTATCTCCAGCTGAGCCACGGCCAAGGAAGCGGCGTTCACTAAACACGGAAGATGCCGCGGACGAAGACGCTGAGCCAGAACGCCAGACCAAGCGGCAGCGCACCGAAACTACCGCTGCGCCTGAGGTAAAGAAGGGGAGAGGGCGGCCACCCAAGAAGGTCGTCAAAGACGCAGAGCCAGCAGAGGTACTCAAGCCTAGCAAACTGGCCCCGGCAGGAAAGGGCAAAAGGGGACGGAAGCGCAAGTTGTCTATCCTGCCAGGCGATACCTCACAGGTGATCGTACCACGGGGTCCGCCACTTCCCAAGTCGCGCGGGCTTTTGATCAACCGACGCGAGGTACCCGGCGATTCTGGTTCTGCCATGATCAGGACACGATCCGGCCGCAACTCGTTCAAGCCGCTGGCGTATTGGCGCAATGAGCATGTCGACTACGATCCCGACGAGGCCGTGACAGACATGTTTGGAACCAAGAGCCACCCATCCAACTTCCTGCTACCTAGCATCAAGGAGGTAGTCCGCGTTGACGAACCCGAGCGCCAGTTTGCCAAGCCGTCCCGCAAGGCCTCCTCCAAGCGGGGCGGTAGAGCTAAATCAGCTGTGCGACCACCCAAGAATCGAGGTTACGAGTCGTCTGAAGAAGAGGATAACACGCCGGCCGACCCCTGGGAGCGTGACCCGGGCACCATCGACGGACAGGTGGTGTCGTGGCAGGCCGAGCATGAATTCAACCCACCGGCGCTGGATGAGCTGGTCGACGTCGAGGAGAAGCAGCTGGCGCTCAGCAGCGCAGCCATCGAGACGCAACCAGTTAAGGACTCGACGTTCCAGTACGCCAAAACGCTTAGCGAGGGTTTCTTCAACGCTGGCGTCGTCGACCTGCCGCCAGGCAGTGAGAAGCGGCCCAAGAACTCGCGCAAAATGTTTATGACCTTCTTCGTGCACACCGGGCGCGTGCTGGTGACGGTCAACGAGACGAGCTTTCGGATTAGTAAGGGGGGCATGTGGTTTGTGCCCAGAGGTAAGTTACAATCCTCGGAATTGGGGAGAGGAGATGCTGACGAGGATGGCAGGGAATTACTACAGCATCGAGAATGACTATGACCAACCTGCACGCATATTCTTCTCCCAGGGGTGCGAGGTCGCCCCACGGCCTTCTCTGGAAGAGGAAGAGGGGCAGGACTAGAAGCTCGCCCGGAAACCATCGGCCGGCGGGGGCGTGGGGAAAGAAGACATCTCCATGATTCCGGCGCCCGACGAAGGCGAGATCCACGATTGGATTGTGCAGTGGCAGGCGAACGTGGAGGACTAATTTTTTAGGATCATGCGGACGAGGGAAAACGGAGGAGTTGGTGGCTGTCGTTTTGGCATTGGTGCTATTTTCTGGTGGGGGCGGATATGTTTATCTCAGTCTGTTGACTTGTATTCCGTTTGGTTTCACAAGCTCTGTTCACGGAACTGGGATATTTCCATGATGTGTTATCTGTCTTTTTTTTTCTTTTTTTTTTTTTTCCGTCTTAGTTTCAGGGTTGTATACCACTCGTTTCCTTGATGTCCTGTGGGCCAAGGATGGATAACACGGAGCATGATTGATGATTTTTAAACTCGAAGCTGGGATTTTGTCTAGGCTGTTCAGACTGGTCGAGGATGTTCAACGCAGACATGAGCTACTCCGTGATCGACGGTGTCCGGTGACAATTTCGAGCTTCGAAAGTTGTGGCACATTTTTATACAGACCTCTGTGGGTATAGGAGCCCCGTTTCTTCCCTGGTTGATGTTGAGATGAGGCAGCGGATTTGCGTTTGGGAGTGGTCCGCCCTGATTCTCCTGGGAAAGGTTCAAGCCACTTCTTCTTGTGGCTTTCTGTGCAGTCCTTTCCCGCGGGGCTAAAATTGCAGTGTAATCCGTCAACAATATGTCCGGCCTCATCCTACCTATCTATTGGTGTGATCCCGCCTCAAGTTAAGCCCCTTGATACTTGGCAAACCACTCCTCGAGCCTGCAACAACGCCACTAACCCTCAGGCACGCAAGCGTGGTCAGAGGCGCTGTAAGACCCTGACGAGTGTGGTGATTTGATGTCTATTCCAGGAACCAAAATACCCGATGCATCTCGCGTCTAGAGATACTGCTTGCTGCGCAGGACAAGGCACCTCGCCCTTCACACTCAGCCCAGCACGCCCAAAACTACCCCTAGAGAAAACAACATCAGAGCAACAAAAAGATAAATATGATGATCGCACTCAGGATTGAACTGAGGACCTTCAGCGGAACACATATTTTTGCCGATGCCTACTGGCTCGATCAGACGAATTTGTTAAGCTGACGTGATAACCAACTACACCATGCGACCAGATTGTTTTTGTTGAGTTTTCCTCATTCAGATCCATGCCATAGATCGATGTGCTGCTGGCTCAAGCTTTTGATTGGTGTGGAGTTCCCCTTTTGTGGAGAGCTGTGGCTCCGTAGCAAGCTTCGCGGAGCATCTCCGCACTGGTGGTGGGGATGGATAGGATCAAGCTTCGGAGCGAGCTAACGGACGGCCAGGGTAGTTCAGGGGCGGTGGAGGGGCAGGGAGCGGATGTTGCCTTTTTTTGGGGGGGGGGGGGGGGGGCGCCCGAGTTTGATGGTGGTAGGTATGCATGCCCAGCTCGAGTCGGCATCGTAACGGCGAAAAGCAGAAATAATCTAGCGATCCCGCACCCGATGCTTACCGTTCAGAGAGGCTTCGAGGAATGGAAAACTCTCCATCACAGTTTCTAAAGAGCTTCTCGGAATGCTGAAGAGTCGGGTATCTGAAAGGGCTTCTCAATGGTGAGGCGAGGAACTTGAAATATGCTTGAGCGTAATTGTGATTGTCAGTATTTTATATTTACATGTAGGCCCCAATCATGGTCACAGCCCTAGACCTCCTCGGAGAGAATCTTCTTCAACCCTCGGATCTCGTTCTCATACACCATAATCTTCTTCTGGCTCGCATGCAGCTTGTCGAGCAAGTAATAAATCCGGTCACGCATCTGGTATGGCTGCGACGGCATGTTCCCGAGCACGGTAAGTTCCGTCTCGGCCTTCTCGATGGCCTTGACCTCGATCCCCGCAAGTTCCTGAAGCAGCGCCATGTCCATGCGCGCCTTGACAACATTGTCCTTGAGCAGGCGGCCGAAGGCTGCCTGGTACACCGGCTTGCCAGCGCGAATGGAGTGCGGCCGTCCGTGGATAGACTTGACGGTGATGAGCTCGGCATTGGCTAGGCTCTCAAGGGCGGCCTCCCCATTACCGGCACCAGGGGTCTTGGACGACGTAAAGGTATCCGACAGCAACACTTCGTTGTAGCGCAGGCTCTCATTTTGGGCGATCTGCTTGACCAAGTACCATGCTTGCTCAGTCGACCACCTCTTGTCTCCTTGGCCAGCATCCTTGGTGAGCAGGAACATCCGTAGGATCTCGGAAGCGCTTTGCTCAATGATGTCTGATACCGCTTTCTTGGGGCTCTGGCCAATCTTCAGTCGGCGGGTAAGCACCTGGAGGTCCGTCAAACGGCCGCCGAGTTGGTCGATGCATTCGTCTAGCTCCTGGAGGTCCTCGCGGCGCTTCTTCTCTGATTGAGATGATCCGGAAGCTTCTTCCGGGCTCTTCTCGATGCGGCTGTCATCGGGATCCAGCTGGGAAACCACAAACTGTTTGGCGACATCGGGCGACAAGTCCCCCAGCGTTACCTGGTGGAAGACACGATCGGGGAGTGATTTTGACAACGACTTCGAATAGGAGGTATCGTTTGTCAGAAATACAACGTGAGCGGCATTGGACTGCACGAGCGCTGCTGCCCAATCAGCAATCTTTTCGTAAACAATGCCCTTCTCTTCATTCTTGTGGAGGAAGCTGTCAATGACAACAACTGCTCGCCGTTCTGGGTGCGCCTCGAGGTAAGCATCCTCCGAGAGGGCTGCATCTTTGTCGCTCTCTTTCTTGTCAGCGAGCGAGACTTCCTTGAGCGCCGATGCCGTGACCTGGAGGATCTTGACGAGCTGCGATTCGAGGTTTTCCGAGAAGCTAGCCTTGACACCTGTGGTGCTTTGTATCGCGAGGTCGACTAGACTGCTGATGTTATTGGTCCAGGAAAAGACTGGGCGGTAACCGACTTGGGCGGCAAGCTTCTTGAGTGTCCCGGCCTCGCCTCTCGCTTCCACAACGGGCTTGCAGTCCAAGACCAGAACATCCCTACGCCCCTCGAGGACTTGGTCAAGGATAAGCTCCCTCTTTCCCGAGCCCCTAGGCCCATGGACTACCACGAATGTGGCCGTAGCTTCCAGTAAGCTGTTCTGAATCGAGTCGATGACGTCTTTCCGGTGGGTTACCAAGGCATTAAGACCTGCCTGGTCGCCCTTATGCCTCCGGAAAGCAAGAATGTCAGAAGTTTGACGCTTAAACCACTTGTACAACCTGCTGTTAGTGAACTCGAAGATGCGTTGTACATGGGCCTGGCCCGAGGTTAGCAATATCCGAGGAACATGCCCGAGGGTTCGTACCTTGACAAAGAACTCGCGGATGGGGTCAAAGACGGCAACGGTGAATGCGGCTAGGAAGCCAGCAATGATGGGGATGACGATGCGGGGGTGGTTAGTGATCCAGTCCCAGATATGGTGAGGCTTTACACGCTGCTCATAGGCGAGACGGAGCCGGGTCACACTCTTGCTGCCTTCCTCCTGAAGGAGATAACCATGCAAGCAGTTCCTCGCCATGATGGCATCTCTGACCAAAACAAAGTCGACGTGTGCAAACTGTGGTAGGACCTTGGAGTCGGAGGGTTGAGAGGTAATATCAGCGATCTTTCCGTATCTGCGGAAAATGCTATAGAGTGTTTCCTGGGAGAGTTCCGAGGGGGCCTGGTCATCTGAAGAGGCCACAAACTCGACTCTGATACGGCTTTTTGGGAAACGGTAAAGGTCTTCTAACCAAGGGCGACCCCGTACTAGTCCCGTCTTGATCCCTAGAAAAGGATTGAACCAGGGCTTGATCGGTTGCTCCTCAAGTTGTTTGCCGAGCAGGTCTAGGAAAGCTGTGAGTAAGAGGGACATGATGAGAGGGCCACAGCCAAAAGCTACCTTCGATTTCGGATGCGGTAATTTCATTTGGATGGGTGAACTTGACAAAAGCGCCGCCGTCCTTGAGTCGAGGAATGATTTCGGTGACATTGATGGGGGTATTCTTAGGTATTGCCTTCTTTACCAGGTTGATTGGGTCGAGTAAGCCCCGTGAATAGTCCTCGAGCTGCTTGTGGAGCTCGGAAATATCACGTCTCGTCGACCACGGGCGCCAGAGCATGATAGGGGTGAGCTTCAGTGGGAAGAGGTCTGGGCCAGAGATGAGCTATGTGAATGCCATACGCGACACAGGGGGACTCACTGTCGAAGAACAGGATTGACTCATTAGAGGCGGTTTGAATGTGCCCGCTCTTCTTGTCCTCAGAGAGAGTACTTTCCCATCTTTGAGTTTGAAGCGACGGCCTACCATTTCTCAAAAGAGGTCGACGGGGATTGACATTTGCAATGCATCTGGCCGTCATTGGCACTGCCAGACCCCGGAGGCCGGCTGGCCGGAGGAGCGTACGTCCTGGGATCATTGCTTCATGATACAGACAAGCCAGCTGGCAGAGGTGATAATTTGGCACACGGTCGCGCGCACTGCTGGGGTAAGGTTTTAAGTCAGCTTTGGCACGCTGAATCCATCAAATTAATTGGGATTTTACCTTGGGGGGAACGAGCGAGAGAGTATGGGGTTGAGGATGAAAGGATTCAAGACGACGAATCCAACATTCCACCGTGCTCTCAGTTGGAATGCGCGCCAGAGCACCTCGGTGAGGTCATCGAAGCCACCTGCCAAGCAAAGCCAAAACAGCCATGGAAGCAGCGCGGATTGAGCCGAACGCCCCCACATCAACAGCCAAGCTCCAATCAAACCCCACTTGATTGGACAAGGCGGCGCGCTGCCGCACCTGCCTCACTGCAGCTCTTTGACGCCGGATCACGAGACTCTCCCCCAAACGGCCAACCGCAACACCACACCACACCACTATCTGCAAGCAGCTGCCCCTCGCTTCCCCTCTCTGCTTCCTCACTCCTCGACCACCGACTCACCAATTCCCAAAACCCAACTCAAGTGGATCCAACTCAAACGTCTCCATCAGAGTATTCCACCCCCAAATCCGACACAATGGGCTGGTTCTGGCAGCAATCCTCCCCCTCCCCCACCACCCCGGCCGCCAACATGCCTCCTCCCCCCACCACACCGAAAGAGGCCTCGGCCAGCCCCGCGCCCGTCTCGGGCGACCGCGAAGTTGACAAGTTCCTTTCGATGCTCCAAACCGCAGCCGCCCCGCCGCCAGCCCGCCGCCAACCCCCTCCTCAACCAACACCACCACTAGCCGCCGAAGACGGCGACCGCACCTCCCTCCTGTCCTGGGCGCGTCTGCGCGCCTCGGCCCCGCAACAACCACCCCCGCCGCCGCCGCAATCGCGCACGCCCGAGTCCCTCGCCATGTCCGAGGCGCTCCTGCCCACCACCATGTCGTGCCGCGACGCCTTCGATTACGCCTGGCACTGCCACACGCCGGGGGCGCAGTGGAACGCCGTGTACCGGTACGGTTCGGTGCGGTCATGCTCAGAGCTGTGGGACGACTTCTGGTTCTGCATGCGGACCAAGAGCTTCGGGCCCGAGCACAAGGCGGCGGCCATCCGCGAGCACTACCGCGACAAGGAGCGGACCAAGTACGCGGCCGGGCGACCCAACAGCGAGGACGTGTGGGAGAGCCGGCGCGAGATGGTGCCGCCGGGCACCGCCTTCAGCGCCGGCTTCCCGCCGCCGATCGAAAATGACGCCGAGTGGGAGCGCGCCGACCGCGAGCGCAGGAGAAGGATCCGCGAGGAACTTGGGATTGAGGGGAAGAAGGAAGGGGGGCAGTAGCGAGATACCAATGTAGATAGGCGCAAATCGGGCTTCGTGTTCATCATTCATTTTGGTCATCCCATGCAGATGTTTTGCAGTCGACATGACAAGTGTGCAAAGCTGTCTCGAAAACACCATGACAAGTCATGTAAGTAAAACAAACAACACTTGAACATGGTCCCCCTCGCCTCTCCTTCACAATACAAGGCATATTTCCCAAGTATTGAATAAGTGCCAGTAAACCCCGGCCCCTTTTCCTCGTTAAACCCCAGAAATGCCCGTTTTGATGCTAGAGTGGCCTTGGAGGGCTTCCATGATAGCGCAGGACTTGAAAATTATAATGATGGGAAAAGATACCTCGATGTGGATATGGGAAAGGCCTTTTAAAATACCAAATATTCATAATGACTG